TGGCAGATGTCGTAGATGGCCTCGTTGTCCACCATGAAGGAGCAGTCCGAGTGCTCCAGCGTGGTGTGCGTGGTGAGGATGGAGTTGTAGGGCTCCACCACGGCCGTGGACACCTGCGGGGCCGGGTACACCGAGAACTCCAGCTTGGATTTCTTGCTGTACTCCACGGAGAGCCGCTCCATGAGCAGGGAGGTGAAGCCGGAGCCGGTGCCTCCCCCGAAGCTGTGGAAGACCAGGAAGCCTTGGAGGCCGCTGCACTGGTCAGCCTGTGGCAGAACGAGGCCTGTTTATCTCTTAGTTATCCCAGCCCTTAATCCCAAAGAAAATTCCAAAGAAAACCAGGGACGAATCCCGCTCGGAGCCCTTTCCCGAGGGGATTCACTCCGTGTATCCCCAGGCCGAGCACCTCCATTAAAGCTTTGCTGAGCCCCCAAAACAAATCCCAGCAGCAGCAGCAGCCCTTGGAAATCACACAAATATGGTTTTTTTTTTTTGGTTCTGGGGTTTTTTATTTTTTTTATTTTAAGACTTTTCCCCCAAACCCAAAGTTCAACCGCGTCGTCCACTAACGAGTTATTTATTTAGAGGTGTTATTTTAAACGTGTCAACTTAAAATTCATCAGGACCTGCAGTGATAGGATAAAGAATAAGGGGTACAAATTGAAAAAAGGGGGGATTTAGGTCGGATAATGGGAATTCTTGGTGCTGAGGCCCCTGGAAGAGGCTGCCTCATCCTTGGAAGCATCCAAGGCCAGGTTGGAGCAACCCGGGATAGCAGACCCGCTACAGGGAGAGTTGGGATATTAAACTCCCCTTAATATCCCGTGATTCCTTAATATTCCTTAATATTCCACTGCTCTAGCCCCCCTGATATCCCAGGATTCCATGGCAATCCCGACATCCCTCTCACCATCTTGCGGATCCTGCTGAGCACGGTGTCGATGATCTCCTTGCCGATGGTGTAGTGGCCGCGGGCATAGTTGTTGGCGGCGTCTTCCTTGCCGCTGATGAGCTGCTCCGGGTGGAAGAGCCCGTGGTAGGGGCCGGTCCTGATCTCATCTGGAAAAGGGGGAGAGGAGCAGAGCACAGTTACAGGGTTGGGACACCGCCGGGACAGAGCGAAACGCATGGGGATTGAGTCCATCAGCAGTAAATTGGCAGGTGACCCCAAGCTGGGGGAGTGTTGATGTGCTGGAAGGCAGGAGGGCTCTGCAGAGGGCCCTGGCCAGGCTGGATCCATGGGCTGATTGCAAGGGGC